TAAGTTTTTCCCCTCATGCTTCTTCACACACACACTCACACACAAACACACACATACACACACACACACAAGTCAATAAGTAGTTTTCCTAGTACAGTCAGTCTTTGGAAGTGTCCAAAGTTTAACGGTCATTTTCTCGCTAATCTTACCTCTGAAACCAGGCGATCCCCACCTCCTTCAATAACAAACGTGAGACGTGCTAAAAGAATGAGTTACTTCTCCTATTTTCGCCCTGTAGAAATAGATGTGTTGAATTGATAGGCTGAGCTTTTACAATTCATGATTTGGAAATAATAAAAGACATGGTAAACTTGAAGAAAATGATATCAGTTGAAAGTCTACAAATTTACCCCTTTGTTGATTTTCTGTCGATATCTCCATTTGCGGATTGCGAGAAGTAACTCATTTTGTTAGCACTTCCCACAAATATAAATTGAACTTCTATTCAAAATAGATGGCAATTTTTTTTTAAATCAAAAGCAAGACAAACAAACAGGCTCTGTGATTGTACGTGTGGCAATATCTTTATACGTGTCACGACGTGGAGGAATCAGGCTCTCGTCAATGTTTGGGCATGATGAGTTATTGGTATCATCTTAAAGCTTCTTCACTTGTTTTTATTTAGAGGGGAACAAGTGTATTTATCTTGAATAAAAGTCGGGATATTTGCGAATGAAGGAGGTGGGGGTCACCTGTTTCAGATGTAATATTAGTGAGAAAATGACCGCCAAAAATTCGTTATTTCCCTAGTTTGAGAGTCCGTGGTAACCGAAAATGTACATTTTTTGTGCCTTCAGTCGACGTTTTTCAGTCAAATCTACACAGAGTTATGTGTTTTTTAATGGGTGTGAAAGGTGTTGAGCCAAAAACAAAATATTCGATAAAAATTCACCAACCTGCGGAAAAATGCCAGTTTCTTCAGTTTGATTATTTTGACGAGAGCCTGATTCCACCACGCTGCCTCACATCTACCCACTAATTGACGAGAGCCTGATTCCATCACGCTGCCTCACATCTACCCTCTAATTGACGAGAGCCTGATTCCACCACGCTGCCTCACATCTACCCTCTAATTGACGAGAGCCTGATTCCACCACGCTGCCTCACATCTACCCTCTAATTGAAGTACGTCTGATTCCATCCACCACGCTGCCTCACATCTA